CTTTTCAGGTTCAGAACCGGTTCTTCGGTTTAGCTCCGGCTCTTTTCACACTGCCCAGAGTAGACTGGTGCTGCGTCATTGCATCATCGTTTGCGTCATGACGTAACCGTTTGCGTGCCTGATTGATAAAGCCAAAGCGCGCGGAAACCCCTCACAGCTGACACCGACAACAACAACAATGGCCGACTGTGCTCCAGCTTCCTCTGTACCTCTTCGGAAGACCAGATTCCCAGTAGGTTGCTGGTCTCTTCAGTGGACCACTGCTGCTTGTTAAGTTTCTCCATCGTTGTGTACAAACTGGATAAAACGCCGGCTTTTTGTTGTTGTTCAGGAGTTGATCCCGCCCCTGCCCCTGCCCCTGCCCCCGCCTCGACGTTAGCGTGACGTATGTGGTGCTTTTGCTCTGGCCGGACAATGTTTTGGTGCTCGAAATGAACCGGATTCCAGAGCTAAGAGGCTGCTCCGCTGCGGTGTGAACAGGAAAACCCGGTGCTTTTCAAGCTCCAGCTCCGAACCGGCCCTGAAACACCGTTGGTGTGAATGAGGTATTAGAGCAGACTTGGCTCTGGTTTCAGACAAAGGGAGAAAAAATAAAGCTTTTTTTTAACATTGGAGCATGTAAACATGTCGCAGTAGAGGCACAACATAAATATGAACCTGAAAGAGAGAAAAAAAAGTATGATTCAAACTTATATTTTTGTATAGATGGGAACTAAAGGAAGACAAGTGACTGAGGAAAAGCCAAGCATGTTTTTTTAAAGGCTGGGAAAGCAAATAGCAATGACCTCAGTTCCTCTTTCAGAACACTTGCAGTGATCTCAGAGGGGCAGTCCGTCTCTATTAGCAGTCCATTCACAGTCCTGTTGCATTCTCACTGGAGTAGCAAGCCCATGGATTTGGAGTTGGATTTTTGGAGCGGTGCAATCAATGCCCTTTCAGCCCTGAATTACTCTCCCTGTGGAATGAGAACAATGGGCCAAATGGCACCTGATTGGTCCGTTTGGGCGAGCAGTAATTGCACCTTTCTCTTTATATTTCTGTCACTTGCTCCCTTGGTGAAGGAGTTTTACTGCAAGAGTACACATTAAAGAAAGGACCCCTCATTCAGAATCATGTTATTAATGTCCCTGCTTATCACATCTCTGTCCAATATAAGAAAGGGTGGAATTAAATGTTGATGGTGCCAATCAGGTTAGGCGGCATATATGATTTAAACTCCTTCATGGTTGAGGTAATTAGCATCCTTCAGCATCAATGTATTGATGTAGAGTGGGTTTAACTACATATTGAGGTGATACATGTTGTTTTCATTTTGGAAGCATTTAATGTTTAGCATTCACAAATATTAGGTAGGGTATACATTTCCTTTTTTCTGTGAACTTTCATCCCATTCAGTGATTATAATGACGAGGCATTGGTTGAAAATGTATTGCAAAAAAAGAATGTAGAAAAATGTATTTTAACCTCCATTGATCATAATAAAAGAAATGCTACATAATCTGTTAAAGATTTGTAATGAACCAAGTAAACTTGTTAAAACCTGCAATTACAAATCTATAAAAACAGAACCCAAGTAAGCACCAAAATGTTTTGTTTATGAAATGTTGAAGTGACCAACTGACTATTTTATTCTTTTTTTCTGTTTTTTTGTTGTTTTCTGAGATAAGAATGTCTCCTTTTGTTATGTAATGTCCATGTTTTGTCTGTAGCCTGTACAATAATTTTTTTTTTTTTAAAAGCACCAAAATGCCCAACGCTCAAAGTAACTTTACATAAAACATGTGCCCCTTCCCACTGTTACAACTGCACAGGATTTACTAATTTGCTTAAAATCCCAATGGAGTAAACCAAGGGCCTCCATGGTCCTGATAAGCCCCCTGGAACAACGCTGTGGTGTGCTTCAACTTTTTCTCATTCTGGATTCAATCTCATCATGCGACACACTTGTGACTCCAAGCTAAATCTTAACAAATATTTAATATATAAATTCAGATAATAAAAAAGACATATGTTTTAGTAATATATCTTGAAGGACAACACTACCTACTGTATATTGATATTCCAATCCATCATTTAAAAGGCCTGAAAGTTGAACCAGTCGAGAAAAGTCTCAAACTTGTGGTGAAGTATAAATGCTTGAATATGGATAGACAATGAATGGATTCACCAATCAGAGCAGACTTAATGATATCAAACATTTGAGTTCTAGCTGTAAAATCTAGTGTTCTGATCTTGAAGAAAGTTGTTCATCCAATGTATGTTAGGTCTGTATGCAATATCCTCTTTCCTTCCAAACACTAGTGAATTATTTATGAATTAGGGGTTTGTGTACACACAGCATGTAATTTCTGTATTGTGGTACTTCTTCGCAGCATAGCCAGTATCTTATTGCTGCATTCAGGAAGCTGCCTTTGTCTTTGATTCTCATGTCAGCACGATA